GCTGCGGATGGCCGGGAGTAATTGGTAGTTCCTTAAATAGAATATAATTGTGTTGTTATCATCTAAATGGTGAATTTATGAGATGGCCGAAGGGGAAAAGCGCCGACGATGGAAAAGAGACTGAGATGATGGGATGAAAAAGAGGAGGTGGTCTCCTCTCCTCACCAGGTAGTAAGTAGTAGCAACAGCAGCAGCAGTAGTTTTAACTGACTTAACCGAGCATAAAGTGCCCTCGAGCGTCTGCAGAAGAGAGCCACATCCATATATCCCTCCACGAAAGATGTATCTCAGTGATATACAAAACCTCTGGTCTGCTCTAAACATTCGTCGGTCGCCGTCTTCGGCGGCGATGATGATGATGATGATCGTCATCATCATCAAGATCATCGGTGGAAGGAAAGAAGCAGAGCGAAAGAAGAGGACGGTCAGAGTAGCCGTGCGCTGTTCGCTCGCGTTTCAATTCCTCAGGACACAATTACATTAAACGCGAAACCATTTATTAAACTTTATATTCTGACGTCTCTACTCAACTACTGTATGAACACACACACACACACACATACAAATGCAATGCCCATTCAATGTTATTACATTACGTTTCCAATGCGAAAACAAACATCGTTTACCTCCCATTGTTTTCCTCATCAGTCGAGCAGAGGCAAAACGGATTCGTCATTACTAACGTTGCCATTGAAGCAAACGGTAATGACATGTCAGTCAACCTCTATAACAATTTTTACGCAAATGTCATTCAACCTTTTTGCAATGTAATCAACATACATTAAGTAGAATCCAAAAGTATATTTAAAGCCCTATTCGATTAAGTAACCTTACCCAACTAAATAATACTCAACACATCTGTGGTAAGCGATTGGTGGTTTTCCAACTTGATGATCAAATATGAGCGCTTACTTTAATTTTATTAAATCACTCTTACACTAATCTTATATAATAACAGTAATCACAGTTGTCAGTCTAAACTTAAGTAGACTTGTAAAAACAAGCGAATGAACATGCAGAAATAAAATGGTAACTTCTTTAAATTGAAATACACTATAATTATTTATTCTCGCTTCGTCATAATATGCGGTAAACCACTGTCACTGCGCATTCATTACAACCGAATTTAATGTATATACATTATAGCTAATACAATAAATATTTGACTAAATTACAATAAAACACCGGATAGTGAAGTTTGTGGTTAATTTAAAATCTATATTTTAAGATTTTTTTGTGATTGCGAAGCGAATGGAAAGTGGAGGATCGGTCAAGTAAATACAGAAATTGAAAATGGGTTTCCGTGCGTTCGCGAAATTATATAAATTGACGCAACTTTCATATTATTGTAATTGCACGTTTTACGAATTGTAATTGGCGAACCCTAATGATGATGATTAAATATTTAAGACGGTCATAAGTAGCATGAAAAAGTTTACCAACAACAAACTGCAACAGCAAAACAGTCTACCGCTGCAGGAAGACTTAATCTCAAAGTTTAATTGGTCATCAAATAAGTACGTAATTACTGTTATTCGGTATGATTTCATGAATTTTCAGTATAATAATTTTGATTAGAGCTTTATTAAATGATAATAGTATTAATGTATTAACATAATTGCTGTTGCAATTATTAATGGTTCTATACAAATTGTAGATGTGTAATGGTATTACGAGTGTAACTAAATTGGTCTGCAAATGGGAACAAAAGAAGTGGCAAGTGGTATTGTAATGGTAGTTGTAGCATAATGTAATCAGATTACGTGTACAATCCATTACCACGCGTTAGGTATTGCGAACTTAGTAAGCGATTTGATTTATTTCAACGCACGAGGAATGGAAATACATTTGACTTATTCCAAACGTAAATTTTATTTTAATTAATGAATCGTCGTAGATAGATAACCTAGTTCTAGAAGATGATTTGATGATAAATTCATAAATTCATTCAATATAATTGAAATTACGGTGAATTCGAGGGTTGCAATTGATATTTTTGTGTCCTTCCCACCCTTTTGTGTTCCTCTTCGATGATGTTGTGTTTGTGTGACCCAGAGTGTTAGCACCTGTTGACGAGATAGGTTGTTGACCAGCTATTATCATACGCAACTCGTCTTTCCAGTTTCTATTTCGCCTCTGTGTTGTGGTGGCTTCTTCGCTTCTTCAGCCTCCGTCCTCTTTCGTCCTCCGCTCATCCTCATCCACCATCCTTCTCTACACGCGAAGCATCTTCTCACCACCGAAACAAAAAACGAGACGGAGGCAGCGACGAAATCACCTGAAATTTGCACACACACACACCAAAAAAAAAGCGGAGCAAAACACGATCCTTGTAATGGAGTGCTAATATTTGAATCATTATAGTTAATGCGATTAAAGCAACTGCAAGTAAATGCACGGTGCAATGTACGAAATGATTAGTTTTAAAATGATGTGATTATCGATGGAATATGCGTCTCATTGATGTATATATGTATATTTTTTTTTTATTGCAAATATCTTTGTGTTGCCGTTGTAATTCGGTGTAAAATTGGAGGAAAGAAATTGGAAGATAGTTTTGAAGAGCGCGTGTCGGAATGTATTTCAATTTATCGGGTAACGTTCCGTGTCTGAGAAACCTTTTGTGCGATTTGCCTCAACTTACCAGCAATAACAACAACAGCAAGGGGAACAAGAAGCGAAGTCCGGAGACGGCAACAACAACAACAACAACACACGTACACGTTTAATCTCCAGAATTCTATCAGTAGCTGCTTCTGCTTGCGATCCCATTGGAACGTTACCATTTTCATCATCCGAAGATTGAATCACGCCAATTGCCTTGCCCCGTTCTTTTCACATCGGGAATTGTTCCAAAAGTGTATGTAATTTGCATGTTTCTTCTCTCCACAACAAAGGCAGCATTTTCCGTCGGCCAGACGCGCAAGTGTTTTTGTTTCATTATTTCCGATGAGATGGAAGAAACGGAACGGACGGCATAAGCGTCTCTCGATTGTTCGGTTAATAATGTAATTGCGGTAGGCCGTTTCCGTGCTTTCGAAAAAAGAAAAAAATATAACAGCAACAACAACAAGGAGAAGAATAAAGAAACTGTTTTGAAATCGTTTATTTTAAGATATTGTGACATTTTGTTTCTTCGAATTACTTTTATTTTACTATTTTTTCGGTTGTAAGCTAAATTATTGTACGTTCCATTTATGTAAATCGGGGCTCTTTTATAGAGCTTCGGATAATTTACAACAAGAAAAATAAAATATTAGTGGAACTAGTTTAATGTTTCCTCTTTACTTTAAAATAAAAAGTCGCTGTAATTCCTATACGGAGGATTAAAGATGATAATATATTACGTTCAGTTTCAACACATGGCTAAGAACTAGTTTTTCGTTTTGTTTTATATGGAGATATAAATGTAATAGTTTAAGGATGTTCAGGGTACACCTTCAACAGGTCAAATTGTGTGTTCGGTTACTTTTTGTTCAACTTGAAATTACTTGTTTTCGATGTGTTCACGTGTCTGTGAAAAGTGAGCTGGGTCAAATACATTTAACCATTGTGGTGGAAGTGAATCAGCTGAGATGGCTGATTGGATAATGATGTGTTGAAATGTGTGTGTGTGTTGTCACGCCACGCACAAAACGCACTCGATAATATTTCTTTTCGATTCACAGAAAATAAATGAATAGAAGTAATAACGTATCCAGCTACCAATTCCAAGAAGTCTCCTACTGTTTATTTTCGGTATCTGTTAATGATTATCAGGCGAAATTTATGTAAATGTGTATATCGTTGGGGGAGTATAGTTCTTGTTGCGTAAGGCAATGATCCGGCGTGTCTTTGGCGCCGGAATCCTTGTTCTCCCAAAGTTATGACAGCCCACAGTAAACTGTGATAATGAAATGCTGCAATCTGTCCACGCGCTTCCGGTGTCATCTCCGGAAGTCGGGTGTATCTCTGCTTCGCAGCCCTCTTTGAACTAATTACGCCCATGCCTCGAAACTTTACTACAACGAAAAAAAAAATAACGTGGCATCTATTTTTTTTTT